AGATTCCCCATTTCCTAATTATGAAGATGATTTTACTCTTATAACACCTGTTACAAAGAGAAGAAATTGTACAAAGATATTAAATATCAGGCTTTTTTAGTTCACACTTCACTCTATTAAAGGATGACTATAATTCTATCAGCCTTTTTGGGCAAAAAGGAAGTGACTACAGAGACATAATGAAGTGGAAAGAGAATAATTATCAAGTGAATTAAATCTATTGTATATTGCTCTTGCCTTTCTTCAAAGATAATTGCCTTAGCACTCTCATTCTACTTTGTATAGACTGGCTACAATGCCTGATGTGACAGTAAGCTGTAGCTTTCCAGGGTAGTCGGAACACCTTCTCTTGCATGTAATTTAATCTTCAGCTACACAATACCATGTGGGACAGCCTAAGCATAGAGCAACGGTTCTCACCATGTAGTTCCCAGACAAGTGGCATCAGCATCACTTGGGAACTTACTAGAAATGCAAATTCTTGGTCCTACCCTGGACTTACCAAATCAAAGCCTCCACCTGGTATGTTCCCACTGGGAACATAGAACGAGACCCAGAATTCTGTGTTGTAATAAGATTTCCAAGTTATTCTGATACAAACTGAAGTTTCAGACCCTCTAGCACAGCATTTGAAATCTAGCTCTGTTTTTTACTGTATAAGCTTAAATCAATTACTGTAATCTCTTTGGGACTCAGTTTCCATGTCTATAAACTAGACAGATGTAGGAATGAAATGAGAATATCCTATTGGCTTTAACTACAAAATATATCTCAAGTCTCTCCATTTCTCTTCCTCTCTTAAGTCCTAACCAAAAATGTCTCTCACCTGGATATTGGTAATGGCCTCCTAACCAGTTGTCCAGCTTTTGCTCTTGGTTTCCAATCATTCATTTACCACAAAACAACCTGAGTTCTTTTAAAAACATTAATCAAATTGAGTCACGCTCCTGCCTTGAAATGCTGTAATGGCTTCCCATTATACTCAGAGAATAAAACCCAAACTCTGTGCCTGGCTTACAAAGTAATGCAGTCTGTCACCTTCCTACGTTTCAAACCTTTGACCCTTGCTCACTACGATTTAGTTAACATTGGCTTCTCTGTTACATATCAAGCACAGCACATCAAGCAGTTTTCTGCCTCAGAGCCTTTGCACTGCCTTATCTGCCAGGAATGCACTTCCCCTTGAAAGCCTAGCTCATTTTCATCCTTTAGGTTTTGGGTTAGAGGGTAATTCTCAGATAAATCTTTCCTGACTGCCTCATCTTATAAAATCTTTCCCTTGCTCTCAGCTACTTTCTATTATATCAATCTAATTACTTATTTATTTATTTGAGATGGAGTCTCGCTCTGTTGCTCATGCTGGAGTGCAGAGGCACAATCTCAGCTCACTGCAACCTCTGCCCCCTGGGGTTCAAGTGATTCTTCTGCCTCAGCCTCCCGAGTAGCTGGGACCACCAGCATGCACCACCACCACATCCAGCTAATTTTTATGTTTTAGGAGAGCCACCATGTTGGCCAGGCTTGTTTTGAGCTCCTGGCCTCAAGTGATTCACCTATCTTGGCCTCCCAAAGTGCTCAGATTATAGGCGTGAGCCACTGCACCTGGTCAGTCAACCTAATTATGTTCTTTATCACTCTTACCATAAAATAAAATTTTCTAGTTAATTTGTTTGCTTAATAGTACACTTCTGTTAACTTCCAGTAATGTATTAGGTCTTTGAGGGAAGACATTTTGTCTTGTAGCCCTAGTACGTCACAATGCCTCCCACATGGCAGCAATAAAAAAAATTTTGTTAAACAAGTAAATAATGTATTAAAGTTATTTTGGAAAATGTTTATCTTTAGTAACAAAGATCCTCAGCATTTTACCACTGAAAACAAATCTATTTTTAGGAAGTTTTTATGCCAAAAAAGATTGAGAAAAGTAGATTCAACTAGACCATGATAGCAAAATAAAATTGGGAAGATGGGGTAGGGTAAAAATGTTCTGTCTGAATTTGTTTCAGTTCTTCATACATACTAAAGATGAGTAGCACAGGCTGACTTAAAGACATGGCCACAGTAGGGACAAACCAGCTGTCAATAGGGCTTCCATTATTCAGACACTGAGAACAATGATCATGCCCAGCAGGCCTTTGAAAGAAGGTAAAGTGGTTTTAAGGCAAGAAGAAAAAAAATTGCCATTTTGCCAGTCCTGAATAGGAGTTAGCACCCTTATGAATGGAATACAGCAACTTGGAACACAGAGAAGCATGTTACCCATGGTCTATAATCCCTAAGGGCAGCACACCTTAATGTAAGAAATTGTCTTGTCAACAAAGACAGAATGTTCATGGATAAGCAACTGGGGTATTCTCTTGCCTTTTGTGAACTACACGTTGATTTTAATCATAATAACTCATTTAAATTGGAGACCTAGGCAGCTGGATATTAGAAACACAGCACTGTGAAAATCCAGACCACAAAAAAGTGAGAGGATAGAAGATGACAGCCAAGTGCTTATGTATAATTAAGCTCTCCTGTGACTGTGACAATGAAAACAATTAGACAATTTTTGTCACTGATATGCTAGATAAGGAAAAACAAAAGAATAAACATAAATTCAATAGCCAAGTGCTATGGAAGTCAACTAATCTGACAAGTTTCTAATACCAAGCGTGGTTGACAAGTGAGGTAAGGCTGAGTTATCTTCAGAAAGCAGGCATATTTTATTTTATTCTGCTCTTTTTCGCATGCATGGCTGCAGATAACTCCATTTAAAAGGAAACATTGTTAGAACCCGATTTTCATCTCCAGGGCAGGATCCTTGAAAAAAACATTTCCCTGCACAGGGCTGGGAGCCAGTGACAAAGTTGATTTTCCATAACAGTAACCCTGGGGTACTCTATTTCCAGTGCAGGAAACCTCTAACCCACAGGAAAGCAGTTCTGCCGACCCCTGGTTACAGAAAATTTCATACCAGTTTAACATACTGAGAACAGGAATTTCACTTAACAGAAAATCATGAAAGTTGAAATGACTTTATTCAATTACTTAGGCTACTCAAATAACATTTAGGAGCAGCCACCACTGAACTGAGTGGAAATCTCTAACCAGTTTCCAATCAACCGTTTAAAAAATATTATGTGATTATTGATCAAAATTCTTTGTCCATAGCTTTTTCTTTTTTCTTTCCTTCCTTTCTTTTTTCCTTATCTTTTTCTTTCCCTCCATTCCTTCCTTCCATTTCTTTCTTTCTTTTTTGGAAGAGAGAGCTTCCTTAGCCTGTCTGGTGGCCATTCTGACAGGGTAGGAAGTGTAGCCTCCTTTGGCCAGAAGCTGTAAACAGGCACTTTGAAGGAGGGGCAAAGGGAACAGGAAATTGTGCTGAGTGGAGTGGCTGAATATACATATTTAATAAGCTACAGGAGGAGTCATGGATATTTATGAAAGGAGAACAATGTGCATGAGCAACTGAGTTTCATGAGTTCTGTGTATGAAATATACATCTATTCATATGTATATACACATTCATATACATATATGTATATTTCATACACAGAGCCATGAATTTATATATATATTTATATGTATATAAATATGAGTATACATATTTAATAAGCTACAGGAGGAGCCATGGATATTTATGAAAGGAGAACCATGTGCATGTGCAACCCTTCATAGGTTCCGTGTATGAAAAATGGCAGTATTAGCATCCGAGGATGGAGGTTTTGGCCCCGTGATACCTACAGGTAGACCAGTGGACATGAAACCCCTCACTGCACATCCTCCCTAGAATGACCAGAACCATTCTGTGGTTGGTGGTCTCTTATTAAGCAAAAAACAAGGGGCAGCATCAGGTGGGTGGGTGGTATCAGTGATGGAGTCTTTTTAAAGGGCTAGTTTGTGTTTAGCCCTTAGGGAAGAAAGGCTTATTGTGGATAGCGAGAGATCGGGTATAACTAGATGTGTCTGACATCACCATCCAGTCACGGCCAAGAACTCAGTTTTCAGTGTTACTCTGGGCCCTCCTTAGCCAAAAGGGGTTCCCTTCTGTCTACTGGGGAGCTTAGAACTTTGGTTATATCTTAAAACCAAAATGCTTTGGAAGAAGAATTAGTGAAATAGACTTTTGTGGGATCAATTATTCCAAGAAAGAAGAACATTTAAAGCTTTTGCTACAACTTGCCCTACAGCACTACTCTCATCATTTTAATATGCATTGTTGTGTGTTTAAACCATTCTTAAATAATTACCAATCTATAGTATTTGTTTTCTGCATCCCAGGCAGATGGGATTCTGGCATGGTCCAATTTGGCAGAACTCAGTTTGCTTTCAAAATGCCTATCCAATAAAATCCTCTTCTAGATTTCAAATCAATATCCTAACAGGGTTTCCAAGATGGGCTCAATAATGACCATGTGCTAATGGTTTTACATTTATATTATTTGGATCAATGCTGATGATTTGATTGGAATAGGAGCAGCTGCACATAAAAAGTCTTTGGGGTGAGAGAGATTTGTCACGTTCCACTCTGATAAGAACTAAATTTGGACAGTGTGCATTTTGAAATGTTCATGGTATCACATTAAATTGCTACCAAATAGGAGCAATTACAAAAGATTAACACAAGCCTCAAATCAAAATTCTAATGAAGAAAAGCACAGAGCTTTAAAAAAAGATAAATCAGGAGCAGGAAAAATAAAATGTTTCCTGTGTCAGGTTTATAGCTTGATGCGAAGAGGAAAAACAGACTTCTTTCCAAGTGTGTTCACACTAATACTCATCCTCCAAACACATCAACCTAATGTCTTCCTCTCTGCTCTGTCAACACCCTTGCCCCCCACCCTCACTCTCCATACCCAGAATCAACTAGGGCTAATTATGGAGCAAACCATGAGTTACACACAGTCCTATTCTATGCAATCTCTCCCAAAATGCCTGAATGCCTCTTGGCTTATGATTTCAACATCAGGAAGTTCTGTAGTACTATAAATGATAAACTGAAAATATATACTTACCATAAAAAGTTAACTGTCCCCTTGCTACGTTTTTCCCTCTGGAATTTTCAGCCACACATTCATATAAACCAGCATCTTCCTGCTGAAAATTAGGGATCTCAAGAATTCCATTTGACTTATGTCTTCGGGCTTTCCTTGCTATTGGCTTTCCATCAGCTCTTCGCCAGATAATAGTTGGTACTGGACTGATAGTAAGCATGAAAAGGAGTGAATCAAACTAGAGAAAACTGAACCTTTTATTTGAAGCTATTCTCCTAACAACCCCTTCCTTCTTGGTTCTGCACATATAAGCTTGAAGTGTTTTGCAAAGTTCATTCATTCATCTGTCACCACTACAATTTTAACCATATCCACATCTGTAATATTATTTATTTAGTGTTCTTCTTAAAATCAAATAACTTTTCTTAACTTTAAATAAGGTGATCTAGCAGGGCACAGTGTCTCACACCTGTAATCCCGGCACTTTGGGAAGCTGAGGTGGGCGGATCACTTGAGGTCAGGAGTTAGGACAACATGGTGAAACCAGCCTCTACTAAAAATATGAAAAAAAAAAAAAAATTGGCTGGGCATGGTGACAAGCACCTGTAATCCCCGCTACTTGGGAGGCTGAGGCAGGAGAATCGCTTGAATCTGGGAAGCAAGGTTGCAGTGAGCCAAGGTTGCACCACTGCACTCCAGCCTGGGTGACAGGGCAAGACTCCATCTCCAAAAAAACGAAAAAAGGTGATCTATCTCCTATACAATATCATCACTGAAATAAAAACAGATTTGTATATGTTATATGTGTTTCCTCATACATGTTTTTTTCCAAATCAAAAATATGAAAATAAAAATGTTCGTGTGCATTTGTGGCAAATTAAAGATAACTGTAAATTCTTTCACGTTCCTCCCATTGAGATGAGATCACGTTCCTACCCTTGAACCTGGTAGCTCTTTTAAACCACTTTGACTAATAAATAAGACAGAAGTGATGTTGTATGATGAAAACTCAGGTGTTAAGAAACTGACAGCTTCTACTTTCTGTCTCATGGCAGCCCTGAGCTGTCCTACGAGAAAAGTGACTACCTTGAGACTGCCAGGAAGGAGAGGCCGTACATAAGGCTTCCAGATGACAGTCCCAGTCATCCAGCACCAGCCTTACAACATTCCCAACAAAATACCAGAAATGTGTGTGATACTCTTGTGAGCTTTCTAGACCAGTTCATCTGCCCGCTGAATACTACTGAAAGACCTGAAGCATGCCACTAAAAGCAAAAGAATCAGTCAGCCAAGCCCTGTCTGAATTTTTGACCCACAAATTATAAGACAGATTAAAGTTCTGGTGTTCCTTTTAAGTTGGTTTATGTAGTAACAGATAACAGAAACAATATAATTTCATAAATCTATGCACCAACAATGCAAGTACCCTACTTTGAGAAATATTCAAATAATGAATTCAGTAGAAATAACGAGCTCATAAAATTTGAGAGACACAACCTAATTGCTGACATAGAGGAAGGGTTCACTCCAGGTATATTGTTTTGAACAACATGGTTTTTCTCCTTGTCATTTATATACTGAGAACCTTACCAACTTAGAGCAATCCATTTGGAAGATGGGTTGGGGAAACTTCACTTAAAATAGTAAGAAGAAGACAGATGCCATCTGTGAGGTCTTTATGTACTCTCAAGGCATCTATCATCCTACTGCCATAACTGGTAGAACATATTTTAAATTGCAGAGAGGGCATCATTGAGTCTGCAAATCAATGGTTTAGTGAGCTAACCACAGCTTTTAAGACTGTGGCTTCCTGGCAGGGGATACAATTATTTACTTATTTATTTTTCACAAAAACACACACAGAGAAGTAATTAGACTAAAGACTTCCTAATCTTCTCTGGGAAACCTGAGATGGTATTTAAAGCATTAAAGCCATCAACTCTACTATATTTGTTTTAGAATAATTTAAGTTCGTTAGACAGGCTCTAACTCAAAATGCAGAAAGCCTCTATGAAAAGTACATAATCGGTGTCTTTATACCAATGAGATATATACTTAATACATGGCTTTAAAAATAACTGTACTGAGATGTAGTTTTTCTGCTCTTAAGTGGGCAACAATGATGTGTTTCAGCAGCTGGATGTGCATACTCAAACACGTCTGTGTAGACTGAAGAAGCCAATTTGGTTTTTTTTTTGTTTTTATTCTAGCACCATTTAAATAGTGTGAATAGAGTTTAATTCATAGCCTTCTTTGAAGTGTGAACAACGCGAATTCTGCTCTTTCTTCACAGACTATTTTTCAAGGTGTCACCTTAAAAAATTCATCAAATGCATTTCTAGGCTACCCAGTTACCTGCTCTCATCTTTAATTTCATATATATAAATGCTTATACATACATAAATACTTTAAAAATGAAAAGTGTAATCATATTATACCATCGGCAATCTGCTTTTGTTCTCTTAGCAGTAAGTCATGGGCATTTTCTGTCTTAAATGTTGTTTTACAACTTGACTTTTAAGGGCTGTAGAGTGTTCAATCTATAGTTGTGTCATAATTTACTTAATATGGTAAGTTTTCAGGACATAAAAAAATACCACTGTATTGTACTGTACCAAAGTAAAGATACTACTGTAGATTATGTGTCATGACATGAAAACACATGGAAACCAAAACAACATTTCTATTACAACTGACAATATAATGAAAAAAGGAACCTGTTCTATGATTGCTGTAAAACACAAAAATCATAAGAAAATAGATTACACGCTAATATAAGGATTGGTAGAATTAGTGTTGCCTGGCTCAGTGGCTTGGGCCTATAACGCCAGCACTTTGACAGGCGAAGGTAGGAGGATTAGTTGAGGCCAGGAGTCTGAAACTAGCCTGGGCAACATACCCAGATCCTACCTATACCAAAAAAAAAAAAAAATAGTTAGTGTTGTTGCCTTATTCAACATGTGGGCACAGGGAATAGAGAGTTAGTAATGGGTTGGTCAGATAGATGGGCTGGTCGTAAAGATTGACATGGATCATTAAATCCACAGAAGATGTCAAAATTCTCACTTAACAGTTTATACTGTTTATGCCAAACCTTTATTGCTGGTTACTGGCAAATAACAATCCCAACTGATGTGCATTTCATTTTCTTTATGCCCTCTGACATATTCTCTAAGGAAAAGTTAACTAGTTTCTAAGTAGGGTTTTCTCAAGATAATCCAGACTGAATAAGAAGGTTGTAAAGAATTTTCAGATAACTTTGTAAAACAGATTCTATCACTAGCCAGAGCAGAAGGAAATCCAAAGTAGAGAGAAGAGACTGACAGTTTAAAAAGAAAGTCAAGAAAAGTCTAACACATCCTCTACAAACTGGGGCCAAAATGAAAGTCCATATTTTTCCAAATAGTCAGCTTAACTGTATCTCAAATGGAGGCCACTGTTTTCTTGTCATTCTGGGTTAGACAGCATGTACACTACAGGTCATAATAATAGAAATACTTTTTCAGAATTGCCCATTCTCCTCTCCTTTGTGACCATGTCAGTTGTGGCAGCCTAATCCTTCTTGCACCATTACACGTCCTCTCTCCATGGAGAGGGTGCAGAATCCAAGATGCATACACAGAATTACAAAGAGAAAGGCTTCACTTGCTTTTCAGTCACCTCAGAAGCCACCACTGTGAAGAGTGCAAAAAAAATAAAGCAAAACCAAACAAAACTCTATACCTGCTCAAGCTGAAAGGGGGAGGAGAAAGAACACAAACGAGAACTTACTTTCCTAAAGCAAAGCATTCCAGCTTCACCGTTGCTCCTTTTGCAGTTGGAACTGTTTCTGGGAACTGCACTTCTATTTTCGGCTCATATTCACCCATCACTCCTGTGAATAAATAAAGGAACTAAGTCTTGGAGATCCTTTTAAAATGTACAAAATGTAAAACTCATTTTTCTGTTAATGTAGAATGCTCATGCACATCATTATGTGCACAGTTAATTCCTTCATTTAAAGCAGGTCCTATCTCTAGCAGTCATGAATTGTGGCTCTTCTCCCAGTTACAACTACAGAAAAATTTGTATTACAGCATCTGCCTGGATTGAATTTTCCATGCACACAACTTTGCCCCTCAAAAGTATTGTTTTAAGGCAGTCTCAAGGAACAAAAGGAGAAGGGGATAAAGTGCCAGTCATCAGGAAAATTAAATAAATTATCTCTTTTGAAGTACACTGCAGAAAAATTTGAATTTGTAATATTTATTAATAAAAGTACTTAAAATACTTGCATGTGTAATTATGTCTATATAATAAAATAATTTTTCTGAGTAATCATTCTGTGGCTACAACTTTTACTTTCATTTCCAAGGCCAATGTAAATGAATCATAAATTAGTATATGCAAGGTAACATCTAATGCCTGTATTTTTATTACATTTTGGACTATTGAAAAAAGAATAACAGGACACAAATATAGAAAAAATTTAAGTTATACCTACCTTGCCAATGGCATACTCATTTGGAGGGTAATATTTTCTCACTTTTCCTATATCCTGGAAAATGACTGTATACTTATGGCCAAGGTAACACAGTTTAACAAACTAAGTCCTGCTTTGTAATTAAATAATTATCAATTATTTCTTTCTTCCTTTTTTTTTTTTTTTTTTTTTTGAGACAAAGTCTCACTCCTATTACCCAGGCTACAGTACAGTGGCATGATCTCAACTCACTGCCACCTCCCGGGTTCAAGTGATTCTCCTGCCTCAGGCTCCCTGAGTAGCTGTGACTACAGTTGTGCATCACCATGCCCGGCTAATGCTTTTTGCATTTTTAGTGGAGATAGGGTTTCACCATGTTGGCCAGGCTGATCTTGAACTTCTGACCTTAAGTGATCCACCTGCCTTGGCTTTCAAAGTGCTGGCATTACTGTACAGACATGAGCCGCCGTGCCTAATGTTATCAATTATTTCTTATCAATACATGCTTGACTTTATCTGCCACCATTCTAATTGTTCTAATACATTTATTCTTATTCCATTTCTGGACATTTTTAATGATCTTTGATTTAACTTTGCCCATAAAGAGTTTGGAATTACCTAGTTTACTAAAAAAAAAATAGGGCTCTCCATTTTCATCTCTCCTTTAGGCTTCCCTTAGTCAAGAGGAAAAAGAGACTGAATCTTAGAAGAATAGGTTAAGAGAAAAATGGATGCGGTCAGGTGCAATAACACATAATTTCATTCACTTTGCAGAGATAATCCCTGCCTTTTTTTTTTTTTTTTTTTTTTTTTTTT